TTATCAATCAATTTTGATATGAATTGAAAGATAATTTCAAAGATTTATTATTGAAAATGCCTAAAGCAGATTTATTAGAGTAATGTATTGCTCAAGCCATTAGATGTGACAATCAACTCTTTAAAAGATGTTAGAAAAAAAGATTGGAGAAGTACAAGTCATTCCATAGCAACACTTTTTAAGTTTTTTGAAGCTTACTTATCGAAACTAGAGCCTATGCAAATTGACACAATATAATTTAAACATCTTATTAAACAAAAAAAGATTCATCATTATCATCAAAAAGATTTGTATCTATATTATAGGAAATCCAATTATACTCTTTAATATTTTCCAAAGAAGTAATATAATTACAAATAAAAAATATAGTTACTAAAAAAGATAATATATCAAAAAATAAGTTTTTCTAACTACAATAAGAATTTTGTGCTAAAATCTTACATAATATCTAGTAAAGGTCTTGTTGTCATCCTAGATTCTTTACCTTGTTTCACAATAGATGTTTGTTTAGGACTAAAAAATCACAAAGTCTTAGCCTTATTAGATTTATGAGCCTCAATTTGTTTTATAGATAAAGACTTTGTTAAAAAATAAGATATTTTCTTAGTTAAGAAAATCAAATTTGTATATGTAGAAGTAATAAATGATCATTTTTTATCTTTTGGAGATGTTACACATGAAAATTTTCTTTTAGAAGTAGCAACTAATAGTCATAATATTTTGATAATATTTAATGTCATTAGATTTCTTTCTAATTCAATTATTTTAGGATTATCGTAGCAAAAAATATATATTCCTGAAATAGACTAAATTTCTTGTAATTTTGATTCTTTCTATAGTTTAATCTAAGATTTTTTTAAATAATTAGAAATTCATAAGATTGATATATTCAAACCATTATTGATAGATATAAAAACTTTTATGCATATTACAAAAGAAGGGTCAATTTTTTTCTATATATGTCATACATATTGTTGATAGAAAAAAGATTTCAAGTGGCATTCTAAGCCAATACCATAACTATCTAGAGGTTTTTGAAAAGATGAATATAGATATTTTTTTAAAACATCATCTCTATGATTGTTCTATCAATTTTTAAGAAGTAGCTAAACCACCATATGGATCAAAGTATAGCTTATCACAAGACAAGTTGACTACACTGAAGAAATATTTTAATGAAAATTTGGCTAAAAACTTCATATACCATTTTAAATCTCTAATTGGAGCTCTTATCTTATTTGTGAAGAAAAATGATGGTTCTTTGTGGATGTGTATAGACTATCAAGGACTCAATAAGATCACCATCAAAAATAGATATTTTTTATCTTTGATTTCAAGACTTCTTGATCAACTAAATGAAGCAAAGATTTATACAAAAATAGATCTATAAAAAATATACAATCTAATATATATTAAAAAAAAAGATGAATAAAAAACTATGTTTTGAATTAGGTATAGACATTTCAAATATAATGTCATGTCTTTTGGACTCACAAATGTATCAGTTTTGTTTCAATATCTAAGAATGGTATCTTTTGTAAGTTCTTTGATGATTTTATAATGTGTTATTGAGATGATACCTTAATCTATTCTAAGAAAATAAAACAACATAAAGTTTATATATGTCGTGTGTTAAAAAAACTAAAAGATGTAAGATTATATGCCAAGATAGAAAAGTGTATATTTTGCATTATTCAAGTTGACTTCTTATGGTATATCATTTCAAACGATGGTCTTACAATGGATCCTAAGAAGGTTCAGACTATCATTAATTGAAAGATCTCAAAAATAGTCAAAGATATGTAATATTTTTTGAGATTTATAAATTATTCTAAGATCTTCATCATTTTTTTTTAAACTTATGGTTCGTCTTATATGCCTAACATGTAAAGACAAACTTAAGTGGAGTACAAAAATTGAAGTATCTTTTGAAGTCTTAAACATAATATTTATTTTTGTACCAATCTTCTATTTTGTTGATTTTTTCAAGGCATTCAACATGAAAATAGATGCATCAAGCTTTGATATATGTTGTTTTGTCACAAATGAGAATAGATGACAAGCTTCATTTAAAAGCTTTTTATTCAAAGAAATTTTTAGTAATTAAAATTAACTACAAGATCTATGACAAAAAACTTTTTATAATTGTAGATTCATTTCAAGAATGATGTTATTATCTAAAAAGGGCTTCTATTCTAATCACTATGTATATGGAACACAAGAACCTCAAGTACTTCATGTCAATATGTGTTTTAAATCATTGCCAAGCCCCCTAGAGCATATTTTTATTAAGATTTGATTTCAAGATTACTTATCTATCTAAAAAAATAATAATGTTTGTTAGACACTCTTTTTAAATATTTTTATCTTGTATCAAAAAAATGACATGCAACTTTTGATTAATAAAGAATAATTTTTTTGAAGCTAGAGCACTTTTGTCTTTGAGTAATAAAATCAACATTAACTATTGATTCAATTTTTGTTAAGAAGATTCAATCAAGTATATCATTTAATTCGCTTGTTCATGATATCAAGAATACATCTTTTAAGTCTCATGATATTTTCAAGTTTGAGTTCAAAAATAATCTATTCTATTTTGAAGGACAATTATATATTCTAAAAGGTAAATCATGATTACGTGTTTTTAAGCTCGTCATGATTTTCCAACAACCAGACATTTTGGATACATTAAGACTTTGAACCTAATATCAAAAGATTTTTAGTGGCCTCAAATATAAAAGGCAATTAAAGAATTTGTACAATCATGTGATACTTGTTCAATACCAAAAACTCCTTGTCATCAACCTTATGAACTTCTTCAACCATTACTTATTTTGGAACAATCATGGTCTTTTATTTCTATAGATTTTATCATAGATCTTCCAATCTTGTGTTTGTATGACTCTATATTTGTGATAGTAGATCATTTTATTAAGATGGCACATTTTGTACTATATACAAAATCTATAACAAGTGAAGAAATGTCTAAGCTTTTTTTTGACAACATCTATTGCTATCATCGATTGGCCAAGGATATTATATCAAATAAGATGATTCAATCTCTATTAAGATTTTGGAGAATCTTTTTTAAGATTTTAAAGGTAGATATAAAATTATCTTTGGCTTTTCATCCTCAAATTGATAGGCAAAAAAAATAGATAAATCAAGTTTTTAAATAATATTTGAGGTATATCATCAATTATCATCAAGATGATTAGACAACTCTTTTGCCATTGATAAAATTTATGTACAATAATTTGGTACATTCTTCTACTCAATAAACACCTTTCTTTGACAATTATGATTATCATCTATGACTTGATACTTTTGACTTTTCAAATGTTAATAATCTTGCAACAAAAGATTTAGCAAATCATTTGTCAAAGCTATATACAACAATAAAGGCACAATTAAAGGAAGCTCAAGAATAATAAAATATCTATGTAGATGCCTATCACAAGAAATAACAACAATTCAATATGGGTGTCAAAATATAATTATTTTGTTACAATAGTAAGACTACTTGTCTTTGTCACAAGTTGGACTATTCTAGGCATAAACTTTTTTTTATTTGTGAACAAATTAATCTTATTCCTTATTAATTACATCTATTGAAGACTATGAAGATCCATTATGTATTCTATGTATCTCTTTTAAAGCCATATAAGACAATAAATACCTCAAAAAAAAAAACAAATGCTACCTCATCTTATAAAAGTCGATAATAACCAAGAGTTTGAAGTGGAAGAACTTTTAAATTATTGAAATGAAAAAATAAGTTAAAATATCCTATTTATTGAGGCAAATATGATATTAATAAATGTATGTAGGAGTTAGTAAAAAATCTTATAAATGCAGCAAAGATGGTTGAGGCTTTCATTGATAATATCCATTAAAATCAAGATGAAGAAGACCAAGATCCATGAAAGATGATAATTGCTTGTCATGGAACTTGATCCTAAAAGAAAGAATATTATCATGGACATACATAGTTGTTCTAATAATTACCTACATAATTATGTAGAAATATGTAAAAGTAGATTAATTTCATAATATTTTCTAAAGAAGCTTCCTATAAGCTTCATAGATGTGGTTTTGACTTTATATATATTTATAGTTGATTAATAGGTTAGAAACTTGGTCAACAAGTTAGCTACATGTTGATAGCTTATAGAATAAGTTAACTATGTGGTGCATATATAAAAAACTTGCCTTGTAAATTAGAATATGTGTCTTACAAAGTTAACACATGTTGGAGGTCCTAAAGAATATTGCTATGTTGATTCTAATTAGATAGTATATATAGAGATAAGGATGAAACCTTCTTCATCCTTGTTAATGCCTTTCCAATTCTTGGTCTTATTTTAATACTTTTTAGTCTTCTTGTCTTTGGCAATAACCTTTTTAGTTTAATAATATATCATCTTTGAGTGATTTTATAGTCTTTTTAAGTGATACAAGAGTGTATTGATCTTTTAGTTCTTTGGGGTTCATGTCCTTGACATAAGATTTAATTATACAACTTACTAAAGTTTTTTTTTTCCTTCTTCTTCTTCTTCTTCTTCTTCTTCAAATACTTGAATATAAAATGATTTAAGAAATGTAAATTTTTATTTACATACTTCTTTATTTCTTTAGAATCATCATAAAATAAATAAAAATAAAAATTGCAAAGTCACAAACTTTGCAAATGCGTTGCAATAATAACTCCATGTGTACAAATAGTTGTTTAATACATTGAACATGAGTTTCATACACTTAAATGGATTTGCATTAATGCTGCGAAGTTATATTTGAATTCAAAAAGTTGAGTTGTATTGTCGTATTATCGAGGTAGTACCAAGTTCCAATGAAGCCCCAACCATCGACGAACGAACCGACGGACGGACGGAGATTGGGACGAAACTGACCGACGGCATAATTTTTATCGTTGAAGACGGCGACGTCGGACTGGTTCTGCTGCCGAGGAAGACACCGAGCGAGGAAGGAGAAGGAGATGACGAAGACGAAGCCCGAGATCTCATGCGAAGCCCGATGAAGTGCCGATGCGATTCCCCCCTTCCCATTCTCGCCACAGCCACATTTCTTAACCGCACCTTGTGTCTTGTTTCACCTCAAACATTGCCGTCTGTGTGTATGAGTACTTGAGGAAAAACAAGCTCTTCCTCTCTCTCCTGCGAGGCGCTGTTTTGAGGCGCCTCTTTGCCGTAACTTGCACTATTTGTTTCTTGGTCTGGTTCTTCTCCGAGCTCATTGGTCACTGAAGACGACGACGACAACGACGACGACCTAATGAATTAACTATGACCAGCTTCGTGTAGGGTTAGGCTTCGACCGCCGTTTAGGTATCTGCGACTGCGAGAGGTTGGACTTTGGAGCGTTTCAGACGAGGGAGTATTATTATCCGGGTTGATATTTGGAGGTTGGTGCGCAGATATCGGTGTTCGAGTTTCGTGAATGTGTGTGATAGTCTACAACGGCCTTGGGTGTTGGTTCTGTTGGCAGTGAGTGTTAGTTCCGCAGGAGATCGGAGAGGATTGGTGCTACGACTGCGGGGACTAGGGTTTCGGTTTGAAGCACGTGTACAGGACTTGCTGGTGGATTTGTGAATAAGTTGGCGCGGTTATACTACAGGATCCATGACGAGCGCGTTGGACATGTCGTTGGACGACTTGATAAAGTCGAACAAGACTGCCACGCATGGCGGGAGAGGCGGTGGTCGAGGCGCAGCAGCTCCTGTGCCTCGGCGAGTTGGAGCGACTGCTGCTGCTGAAGAGGGCTACCCCGACAGTAGAATGTCAGGGCCAGCCCGCAGACAAGTGACCCGGGCTACCGTCCGGCCGACGCCTTACGCGACCGCAAAGGCAAGCAAAGCGGCATTCCCTTATCTACTTCTATTTTGTGGCAATGACAGACTTTGAAAGAGTCGGTAGTGTTATTAAAAAAAAAAAAAAAAAAAAAAAAAAAAACGAAAGAAAGAGAAGAGAAGAGAACCAAAATCATATCAGGCACAAAAAAGACCCTTGAGGATTCACTATCTTGAATGAGAAAGTGTAGAGTATACATGAGGAACGGACCAAGATTTTATAAGGAAGACGTACTCTGGTTCAAGGGAACAGGTTTTGGTGTTTTTGGATGTTCATATGAAGGATGGATTACTATCGAAGACCCTGTGAGCGTGCTGAGCCTGAAGTTCATCTTCTGCTGGAATGCTGGGGGCCTACTTTGATGAATTTCATTCAATCAACGCTTTGATACTTGTGTATTTTGCTTCTCTGCTGGGACGCACTTGTCCGGGGAGGAGTTTATTCATATCTAAAACTTTCAGGATGTGGCTCGCTTCTTCTCCGGCGTTCGTAGCTCACTGTCTTTGCGCTGTGTAATCTGCTCGTTGATGGGCTTTCGCATGTGTTTTTGAAGAGAGCATTTGTGTGAGAGTAGTTTTGCTGATGGACTTCGTGGGTGGTGCGAACTGCCAATTATGTGTCCTCTCTGTGAACAGCCAGTCCGCCGCGCCATGGATTCACCTTGGCAACATGACATGTACGAAAACTTTGCCCCGGCTCCATCTGCAAGTGTTAGAGGGACGGGAGGAAATATTGAGACGGGCACCAAATTGTACATATCCAACCTTGATCACGGAGTATCGAACGATGACATCAAGGTAAATTCCCATCCAATCATTTATTTACTTTGGTTAAAGATTGATTTTTGTATATATATATATATATATATATATATATATATTTGGTTAGGTGCAAATTCTATTATCACCTTTTTATGCATTTATCAATCAGAAGCATCGGAAGAATGTGACAGCATCCAATGCCACTCCTACTGTTATGCGTTAGCAAATGATCCTTGTGTGCAACATAATAAAATGGGCACAACTGTTGTTTGGAGGAAACCCATAGTTGCATTGCATCCTATCTTTCACATTGACACTCACATACACACACACTATTTGTTTGTTTGCAGTGTTTCATGTCAATCATATCATTTTTATTTTTTATTTTTTATTTTTTTATTCAGGAACTGTTCGGGGAGGTTGGTGATTTAAAGAGATGTTCTATTAACTATGATCGAAGTGGTCGTTCGAAGGTGAGACCACTTTTCTATATTTCGATCGAACAATTTGCATGACTATGCAGATATCTCTCACAGCTCTGCAAAAAATCGTTTAGCATCTGGAAGCAAGGCTTTCTTGTCTTCTTATCTTAAGCTGCAGCAGCGTATTTCTTTAATGAGATGGTTCTTTCCTACCGACTTGTGCTGCATAATTAGGGAACTGCGGAGGTGGTGTTCACAAGGAAACCCGATGCTGTGAATGCGATGAGGAGATACAATAACGTTCAGCTGGACGGAAAGCCAATGAAAATTGAGATGATTGGAACAAATTTAGTTGCTGCTCCAGTTCCAGCCATTCGATCCAGTGGAGCCATGGCATCACTTGCTGCTCGAGCACGTCATCTTTCTTCCACATCGTAAGTTGATTCGTTCATACTCAAGTTGCTTCCATTCGACTGCCACGAGGGTCAGATTAAGTTTCGTTGCTTCTTCGTTTTACTCGCTGGTCTTTGACCTAGGCTTTCATTTCTTGAATAGTCTACTAGCTGCTCACAAAGCGTGTTGTATCTGTAGTTTGCCTTTTGCTCGAGGACCTGTATCTGATCGAGGCAGACCTGGTAGCAGTGCACTTCGGGGACGTGGTGGTGGAAGAAGTGCTGGTGGTGTCGGAGGTAGAGGCGAACGCAGAAGTGGCCCTGCTGTAGAGAAGTCCGCGGAAGACCTGGATGCGGAGTTGGAATCTTATCATGCAGAAGCTATGCAAACAAATTAGGCTCAAGCAAAAGAAAGGACTATGCTTTCGTCTGGACTAGCTGTTTGACTAGTCATTTTAATTTTGCGCATGACATAACCTTCAGTTTCTAAATATCAGTTGCTGATCGTGGGGTATGGTTTTTGGGCTTAGCGATATCATTCTTATGATCCCTAACGTATCTAGTGTAGAGAATTCTAGTGATGTTTCATGCTCTTCCCTAGTTTCACTTCAGCTGTACCATGAACAATATTTCATGGTATTGGCTCATCTAGAAGATACAGCTGTGTTATCTTGGGCTTCATCCATTACCCAGGCATGTGGAGGTTGTGGTTTTGATGGAGTTTTATCTTATGAACTTCCCATTTTGTTCCCTGTCATATTCCGAGTAGCTCATGCTTTGCAGCAGTCCTAGTCCTGCACATTATTTCAGCCCAGATGATTTTCTACCACAATTGAGATGTGATTAAGACCTTTCAGAACTTGCATTTGATGCGACACATTAGGACTAAGCAGGAGTCAGTCAGTGATCTCTTGTTTTCTCAGTTTTCCCCTTCGTTGTAGGACTGCGTGTTACGTTTGGGCTTCTGATGTAATGACCTCCAAGTGACATTGTGAGTTTCGGATTTTATGACCTCTTTGGTACTGTTTTGGCATGTTAACTGTAACTTTTCTGGATTCTTGTTTCAGTTGAAGGTCTAGGATTTTAAGTTCAATGGTAAACCCTCGGCCAACGACGTTGTCGTCTGGAGAGTTGCTGACCTTGTTTCCTGATTTCCTGTTTCTGTTACAACTCTGTGACCACAATGGTAGGTTAAAATTTAACCTACGAAACCAACATTATTCAGACACTGTTTTGCAATCTGTCTTGTTCCATAGTTATTAATCAGAAAATTTATCAGAATCAGGACATATCAGTTGATGAAGTATACCCTTGTGGAATTCCCTCACCTTGGCATTGTATACTAACATGGTCTAAGTCGGAAGCGATCAGGTTTCATTTATTTATTTAACCAACCACATTCTCAAGTAGCTCAAGTAGGCTTTGTTTCATAGCAGAGGATGAGTGAATGCTCTTGCAGCTCTTGGGGTCACCTGGCCATGCTTGGCAGCTGGTGTCCACCATGAACAGCGTTTTTTTTTTCTCATTTGTGAACTTAAATGATATGTTTTCTACTGCAGCTTTAGTTTTGTGTCTTTATCTTCAAGGGACATTTTGGATTGTATATGATAGAGAGAGAGAGAGGCTTCAGGCTTTAGCATTCATCTGCAAAGGTAGAGCATCCTTTCAACCAAAAGCATATGTTGGGTAGAAACAATGACCTCTTTTGAGCTTTAAAAAAAACATGTGTTGGGTTCTTTGTCTTTTCTTAGTCAGTCAGCAACAGTCACGCAGCTGCTACCTTTTCTAAATTATGTCCTGAGTTTTAAAAACAAATGTGTCTACTTACATTGGTGAAGTTATTTTTTGTTTTGTTTTTGGCTTTGTTTGGGAGAGGGACCCTCATTATAGAGAATGGTTGTCAATAAAGGGTAGGCAATAGTCTCTCCTTATCCTACCATTTGCACATACCACCCTGATTGTTTATGTATATAATGTATAAATTTAAAATGTAAAATGTATATTTATTTCCTCTCTTGATTTTGGACTACAGAAGAATTGTCTAAAGGTCTAATTATTATTTAAGGTCCTTGGTAAATAGATGTCCATTTCAAGTACATTTTTCTAGTAAAAAAGAATATATTGGACATTTTCTCAAACTGGGAAAGTGGAAGCTAATTATGCTTTACTTACTCTAGAAAGTTCTAAAAACTACTATAACACAAACTATTATTGTATGAACAAAGAACTTGAGTTACACAACCTTTAATTGTTCTTTTAATCACTTCTTTTGTATTTTGATTATTAATTGATGTAAAATTAGAATATATTAAAAAGTAAATCATAAAATATAAATATATTAGAATAGTAGGAATCATTAAGTGGATTTTAAATCTAATTAGTTTATTTTTATTTTTATTTATTTTTATTTACGAAATTAACTAAAAATTACGCTTAAACTTGATAAGCTATCACAATTGTCCTTTTTTAAGTGCACTTGGGGTCCAATCTGCTTAATGTGGAGAAATTGGGGGGGCTTCTTCTACACTTTTTGGCACATAAAGTTTAGTAAAAACCCTTGCTTTAGATTTTGGGCCAAACAAGTTGTTGGGCCTTTGAAGGGTTTGCATTTGTCTTGTTCTTGCAGAACACAATTCCATACACTACGTGCATGAGTTTCAACCCCTGTTCCCAACATGCCATGGCTCTTATTTTATTGAGCTCTTATTTATTGAGCTCTTTATCGATATAATGCTTGCAGTTTGCAATCTAGCCAAAAAAAAATCATTTCTATGAGTCTGCAAATTAGAGTATATATTGATGTGCTGCACTTTACTTGTAAGTAGATTACAAAAACCCACATTTTTATTCAAAGAATCTTTCCAGTTACACTTAAAAATAAATAAATAAATAAATAAAATTGTGATAGCTTATCAAGTTAAGGAGCAATCTTGATTTTATGACAAAATTGAGAGGTAGATTTACTATTATCAAGAATACAAGGATATGCTATTATCAAGAATCTAGATTAGAAATAAAATTATAATAAATAATTCAAAAAATATTAGATTTTTAAGTTTTTATTTATTTTAACGTTTGTGTTATTAATAAAAAAATTCAAGCACTATAATATGCAATACATTTTCTTACAATTTTCATTTAGAATTATGATTAATATTTTTAATTAAACTTTAAAATATTATAAGAAAACTTTAATTAAAAATATTATAAGAAAACTTTATACATAAAATTCTATTTTGAAGTATAAATAATACTGACTTTACAATTTGTAAAAACGTTTTCTAAAGTTAAAATTTTAAGACTTTTAAATAAGATTAATTATTCTTGATACTGAGATATATGTGTAATAAATTATATTCTAAGTAAATAAAATAATAATTATTCCAATATTAAAAGTCAAGTATAAAATATAGTTTCATAATTTCTTTTGATATTATTAATTTTTTTTCAATCAAAATATGAAATTAAATTATGATTTGAAAAAATATATTAGAGCAATATTTCAACTATAATTGATACTACTACCAAATCTTAAATTTTTTCATAAATCATCTTGTACATGCTAAATATATGCAAATTAGAATTTAATGAAAATATATATATCTTTAAAAAATTATTTATACATTAAAATAAGAATTATGTAATATCATAGGTTATTTTGATTAAAGGTTCGAATAAGATTCTACTTATGTCCAAAATATTGAAATAGCAATATTTTAGTTGTCTAATCTTACTCAAACTTTTTATATAGAATAAGCTTAGGAGGTCTTTAATATAGAGATAGAAGGTAAGATGTTATAAGTTTTAAATCCTTTAGTTAATTTAAATTTACAAGTCACAAGTGGTTGATTGAATATTTCGAAAAATTAGTTTCAAAATCCTAAGAAGAAAAGATGAGGTAGAATATGTTTTTATGTTACATAAGATAAATATTGTTACTCTTTGAAATTTGCAATATGCACAATTCAAGAGGTAGTTTTACAAAAGATTAAGAATTTAAGTAAAATTAAAATAAATTCAACTATATATATCTATATATATATATATATATATATATATATATATTATATAAATTATAGAATAATAATATAAGCTAACATATTCAAAATTAAAACTAAAAAATATTCAATTATATTCTATAGCATCTTTTTTTTTACTTTATATTGTTTTCAAAAACTAAAGAATAAAAAAATGAAAAAATAAAAAAACTTCATCAAGTAAAAATCTTTATAAGGTTCTTTTACCATGGCCCATCAAAATAGAATTTTATGTATAAAGACCTCTTTATTAGTATATGCTTAATTAGTTTTCATAGACAAGTGAAATTATATTTTAAAAATAGCTATCATTACATTTAATCTTTAAGAGTTAAAATGATTATTTCTAATTTTATTTTTAAATTTCTTGGTAATTCCATAAAATTATAGATGCTATTCTTTTGAAATTTATTATTATTTATTTTTGAAAATTTAATAGATAAAACTAGTTATAAAAAATAAAATCATAAATTTAATGATACATCAAATATTTTAAATCAATAAAGAAAATATGTAAAAGACATAAGAATTTTATCTATGATTAATTTTTAAAACACTTGATTAAATACTTAGAGTGAAGACATGTTATATACTACTTAGATGCAAGTTTACAAGTAAAAGCATACAAAAATAGATGGAAGCTATAAATTAAGCTATAAATTTTAAATATATAGCTATTCTTAAGTAATAAACTTTATTACAATAAAATAGATGGAAACTATATTCTTATTATATTTATAGCTATAAATTATATATTCTTAATTTATGATAATTTTTTTATGAATTACGTCATATATCATATTATTGTAATAAAAATTATTTTCTAAAAATGACTCATAAATTTAGATAAAATAATTTTTATTAATTTTAAAAATATTAATAATATAAATAATAAATTTAATAATTTTATTACTTTATAATAAAAATATTACTATAAAATTATATATTATATTTTTTAATTTTTTAAACTAATTTTTTAAAATTATAATAATAATGATAATTATATATACATATATATATATATATATATATACATATATATATATATATATATATATATATATCTCCAAAAAATATTTAATTTTATTTTATTATAAATATTTTCACATCACAACTTTAAAAAATTATAGATTATCTAAGTTTAAGTTATTATATATAAAATTATGTTATTTTTGGTAATAATAGGCTATATTTTAAAGAAATTAACTTAAAGTAATAATATTATATTTTTTAATTTAATTTTGATAATAATAATAATAATAAAAATAATATCATTGCATGACTTTTTGTAGACAAACATTGCCAAATTTTTAGTACATATATATATATATATATATATAATTTTATTCTATTATAGAGTGGTTGTATGACTCATTAAGAATTTTTTAAAAATTATAAATTAAAATATAATATCAAAATTTAATATTGGGTATAGTATTTAGAAAAAATTAGCATGTGGATAATAAAAATTATATAATGGACAGAACTAAGGAGCCAAACTTTATTTTTTAGTAAGTCCATAATATCAAATTTAATCTAGAGCTAACAACATGTTATTTAGACAGTACTAGAATTACAATCATTGTTTAATAATTTTATTTGATATTTTATTGTAAAATAAAGTAAAATAAAAATAAATAATAAAAAACCAAAATAATAATAAAAAAAAAACAAAAAAACTCTGAGAGGTTCGCAATATGCAATGCCAAATAGTTTTTTTTTACATTTTTTTTAAGAAATACCAAGAAACATTTTTATAAATAAATAATATATAGATTTTTTCAAATATTTTATATATAGCTAGATATATTTCTTTAAGAATCTCTCTATTTTTAAATTTTTTCTATAGAAGCAACCTATAATTTGGATGCTAAATATGTAAGTTTTGTAATATATACAAAACTTTTATATTTCATTCTTGCTAGCTAGTGTATATAGAGACAAGATTGAAGCCATTTTTAATTTTGATTTTATCTTTCAATTATTTAATTTTTTATTTTATTTTCTTTACTTTCTTTTTATTTGACATTATAAATTATAAATTAATTTAATTTAAAATTTTCTTCTTAATAATACAAGAGTGTGTTTTTGTATAATAGCTTTTTTGATTCATTTACTTGATACTAAATGCTATTGGTTCCTAAGTAACTATATATTATGATTTTATTTTATTTGATGGTTAATAAGGTTACTATATATTATGATTTTATTTTAGAAACAAGGGATATTATTCATAAAATTCTATCATTTTATTAGATTTGGTAACACTTTTTGATACATTTTAAAATATATTCAATTTTTCTTCAATATATTTTAAAATAACAGATTCCCATGTAAACAACTCAGAAACTTACTCACGGCTTAATACACAACTGGTAAAGCAATTTGGGACCTATGACCGAAAAGAGGCCCCCGTTGACCCTATTAACAAAGGACCTAGTTCTCTCATCCCTACCAGTTATAGAAACCAAGACCTATTACCATTATATACATTTAGGGGAACAAGAATCATGTCATTGGATGGGGTTTTAGATATAAGCCGTCCTCTAATATAAAGTTTTATTTAATCATGAGGATGAATGCATGAGTGAATGAATTTATTTTATGCACTCTCCAACAAATCCACATTTTCATTCATTCGTTCATTAACTAATTCATTCATTCATTCATGTATACATGAAGTCTGTGAACGTGACGCAAAACTTAGATTCTGTAACTGGCAGTGGAAAAAATATAATAAAAGTGACTTGTCACAAACTTCGTAATCAACCAATCAACACCCCATATCGTGGAGTGAAAAGAACTCTCAAAGGAAAGGAGAAGGAGGAGGAGGAGCGACGAGAGGTCGGCGACTAGCGGTCATACAAATGGCAGCGGCAGTCGGGAGGGGGGCTGAGGCTAAGCTTCCCCCACCCATCAGTCGGGGGACTGGGGTGGGTTGAGTTGAGTTGTGCTCTTGTGCTGCGGCGCGAGCTCCTCTTGTGCTGCTGAGCCACGCCTGTTCTCGCAGAGCTAGCTCTCAGCGCATCTCTCCTCGCAGCCTCAGTTCGGTTGCTGGCTCGCTTGCTTGCTTGATGCTGGTTCACCTCCCAGATCAGGCCACAGCCCCATCTCCGAATTTTTGTTTTTGTTACAGTTTTTCTAACGTTTCTACGCGTTGAGAGGGGGGGGGGGGGTGGGGATCGTGATCGAGAGAGTGTTAGATCTAGAAGCTCGCAGCTGGGATCATGGAGATGTGGGCGTGGTTAACCTTTTGGATCTTGTGAATTAATTTCCTAGTCTTGATAGGGAGATTTTGCAGTGATCTCTGGATTTGCCAAAGAGGGCTCGGATCGTAAGCAAGGAGGAGGAGGAGGAGGAGGAGGAGATAACTGAGAGCGGAGACCTCGAGATATATATATATATATATTATGGGGTGGCGTCACAAGGCGGGATTAGTTTTGATCGCCTCTGTCGTTTTGATATGGGTCACGTCAGCAGAGGTTACGCAGGTTTGTTGCTCGGCTACCATTCACACACTTAGGTTTCTTGAGCTTTTTCGGCATGAAAGAACGGTAAAACAATTTAGATTGCTTTAGATTCAAAATGTTACGTTGCTAGTTCTTCAGAGTGAGTCCGAATTGGAAAATTTTTGAATTTTTTCTTTTGTCTGACTGCTTGGATCACAATTGTTACAGTGCTTCTTGAGGTCTTGCAAATGTTTTCGGTAGCCTACAATCTCCATTGCTTTTCTTAGTGATGCTCATTGGGAACCAAGTCAAGAAGTGCACTGTAAAGTCCACGCTGGCTCACTTTCACTGACATTCTGTTTTTAAAGGCAGGAATGGTGCAGGGAATGTCACATTGATAGGCTTAATAAGAGAGGGGAAGTTTAACCAGAGCCTTGTCGACCGAATGCTTCAGCAATCTCTTGATATTTCTACACCCAGTTTTAGTCAGTATAGGGATCGTCTAGTTAATTAGAGTGTTGCACGTGGTATATAGAATATACTTCAGCTCACAGATGTTTGTCTCACTGGCATCCGTAGGAATGTTTTAGCAGTTATCTAGGCAATGTTAAAGTATACTTCTAATTTGAGTCCTCGTTAAGCAGAATTACGAAACTAGAGTTCCATTCAAGCACCAGCCAATGTGCCCGAAATATTGTACTTTCCGTCACCTGGCGAGACTTCTTTTTCAATAGTCAACAGGTTTTTATTTATGTATGAATGTATGTATGGTATTTGCATTCTTTTAAAAATATATAAGTGCCGTGTCTCCGTATAAGAATAAGTGATGTGGATCTGTCGCAGAGCATTTTTGAAGCCTACAAGCACCCATTCGTGCTCACGTACTTAGGAGCCTCGTTACTAGTTATTTACCTACCTGTGTCGTACTTGAAGGATCACATCTGTGATCACTACCAAAGAAAGAACAGATTGAAACCCAAAAACTCAATCAACCATGGTACCAAACTGTCTTCATTGCCGGGGTCACCCATGCGATCAAGCGATGTGGACAAGACATCGGAGCTTGATCTTGAGAAGATGATCCTTTTGAAGGAGATCAACTCCGAGAAACAAGATCCACAGTCTATCCACCCTTTTCTGTACAAGAGCAGCGGAGGTGTGGAGGAGTTAAAGAATACGGTGGTTTATACGACATGGGAAATGGCGAAGATTAGCATGGTTATGGCCCCTCTCTGGATCATTACAGAGGTAATTAAGAAGCCTGTGATAACCTTAATCCATGCATTCACACATATATGTGGGTGGTTATCTGGAAGTTTGCGCTGTTAGTCTCATCGAATGTCATGCTTGCAAAGTGGACCTGAGTGTGCCCTATTCGTGTACTGAAATACTCCGTCTTCTGATTATTTTCTGAGCCGATCTGTGTTTTTTATTTTTTATTTTTTTTGCAGTATTTGTCGAACGCCGCATTAGCACTTACAAGCGTGGCTAGCACCACGATCTTGTCATCAACAGCAGGACTGTTCACTCTTTTATTTGGGGTGTTTCTAGGTCAAGATTCTCTCAATCTCTCCAAGGTGGTTGCAGTGTTAGTTAGCATTACTGGAGTGGCCATGACTACTTTGGGCAAGACTTGGTCGACCAAGGATAACAGCGAGTCATTGAATGAGTAAGTAGTGATCTTGTCTGCTTCGATGCTATCTTTCGGTACTAGTTTGGACTAGCCTTCATCTTGTCGCAACACTGATACAATACTCAAACCTTACCGCTTTGAAGTATTAGTCCTCAACCATTTTTTTAGTTAAGTCGTGTTTATTCATTTTGTTGGCCTCTGAAAGTTGCACAATTATGCGATGTCCATGGGACTGCTGAATGATTGGTCTTATTTTTTGATTGTTTACCTCTTGCATAAACAAAGAAAGATAACGTATTGCGATGCTTTGTGACAGCCTTGACCAGCATTCTTTGGCTGGAGATTTCCTAGGTCTTCTCTCTGCTGTTATGTACGGTCTTTTTACAGGTACTTGATCAGGTTCTTCGAAACATTTGCGTTTAACCGCCCTCGTCCAACTTGAGGACAACGTCGTGTGTGTATGTAATGAATTTAGAATAATTTTAACCCCTAAAACTCTAGTTGTATTCTGTGTTGTATCTGCAGTGATGCTGAAGAAATATGGAGGAGAAGAGGGCCAAGGTGTTGACGTGCAGAAAATGTTTGGCTTCATTGGGTTTTTCACATTAATTGGCGCTTGGTGGCTTAGTAAGTACATCACGATTTTGATGCTTTTTCAATCAATTTCTTTACAGTTCATGGGCATCAAATCCATTTTTTTCCCCCCCCCCCCCCCCCTCCCCTGCAGCGTACACTCCATACAGGTGTTGGATATATTCTGGCTCTTCCTATGAAGGACCATAGATGAGGCAAAGCTGGCTGCCTGACTATGCCGCGCTATGTTGCGTCGTGCTGATTGTATCTAGCATTATCGATTGTTGCAAGTGCAGTTTTCCCTTTACATGCACTGGGACTGGAGCCTTCATTTAGTGTCCCGACGTCCTTGAAAGTAGACGAGGTTGTTCTAGCGAATGGCTTTGTTGGAAGCGTTCTCTCAGATTATTTCTGGTAGCATTCTCCCTCTCCTTCAGGTTCTGCAGCTCAGTATTTGACACTGCTGCTTTTTGCATACATTCTATACCCATGCTCTTAAACTGATACAACTACAGTTGGTAATCTGAGGCGGCGATGGTAAACTACTGTGTAGGGCCATGTCTGTTGTGTGGACGAATCCTCTGGTTGCAACACTCGGCATGTCCTTAACCATCCCACTAGCGATGCTGGCTGACATGGTACTGCATGGACGCCATTATTCTTTCATCTACTTTCTTGGTTCTACTCAGGTACTCGTTTCTACCACTGCTACTGACGTATTTCACACCCAGCGCGGTTGAGTTTGCGGGCTGTTGTCGCAAACGTTTTAACTGGTGTTTGCTCCACTTGTGTACATCGACTAGACTAATCATAGACTTCTGAAGATGGCGTTTAAAGATGGTGCCTTAATTTTGTCGATGTTACTCCCGCAGGTGTTTGCAGGATTTGTGATAGCCAATCTGACAGAACGATTCTCCTAGAAGCTGGGAGTGTAAAGTAACGGGGCCCGACACCAATACGAGTAATCCTTCGAGGTGCAATAAGCTTGTTCTTAGACACCACTGTTTTGTGTCGGAGAGATGCAAATAGCCGTAGGCCTGATTTATTTCCTGTCTATATTTCCATCATTGGAGCTATCCTCTAGACACACAATGCACGTTCTCTGGAACATGAACGTAGTTTTAAGTAGTGCGCTGAGAAACTCAAGGCGGGGATTCGGCTACCACTTCGAATTCGGTTAGAAGGCTTGTCGATAAAGAGAGTGTAGAGATTGAGGATGGCACATCCCCTATTAGATTTTGTGGTCAGAGAAGGCTTCCAATGAGGAATAAAGCATAGAAATTGGTACGAACACTACAAACTGTTAGTCATAAGCTGAACATGGTGTTGAAGTCCCGGGATGGAACTGATTCTCATTAATGTACAATTCTTCACAGAAACCTGAGGAGCTGTTTTTTTTCTAGTTGAGTATTGTACAAGGGCAGGTCGTTGTGTTGCCTCGTCAAAAATCCTGTTTCAAAATGTCAGCTATTGTTAAACTAGCGTACTTCTTTTGACTCCCTTTGAGGATCTTCCTCACTGTGTCGGCGTCTCTACGTGCCGACCTGCCAAAGCTGTGACCATCCCCTGCAACGCTCTCCTCGTCACTGCTGTCTGTCGGTCTTCTGCTTTTGCTCGCTTTTAATCCGAACCGCTGCGGCCATGTGAACAGCCTCCCTGCACAAAACGGCATCGCCTGCCCCCCTTTCCCTCGTCGGCTGGATTTGAGCCCTTCCCCAAAGCCCCAGCCTGCTTGAATTGGTTTACCCGGTGAGATGGATGCAGTCTCGTCTCGGAAGCTACTACCCCACCGCCGTCTTGATGTCAGTATAGAAGGACTATCCTCTTCAACTTTCCAGTCCCTCGGGTTCGGTGGTATAGATTCATGGTCTACTTCCTCACTTGCACGACGAAGAGGGAGTGGAAGTGGAGGTGGCTTTGGCTTCCTGGTGCTTAGATTCGAGGCTGATATGGGGATCTCTCTCACCAGATCAGGCGCGAAGTTCACGCGGCGTTTTGGAGCCGCTTTCGGTTGCACAGGGCTCTGTTTTTCAAGAGAGATACCTCTGTAGAGACTTGCTACGAAAACCTCTGAGGATTTCTCTTGAAACGACAGACGCCGTGGTGTCGTCATTCCTCTCTTGGTAGGGGTACCTAATGATGAATAGCTTTCGTGTAGCTGGCTGGTCACGTATGGCACCCAGGCATTGCGATTCTTTGGTGTCTCTTGCGGTGTTTTCATGCTTCCCACCTCCGAATCCTCCTTGCGCACCTCTGACACTGTCGTAACAATGTCTTTAGTAGTATTCCTCGGACTTCCTTGAGCTTTCTTAGAGCTTGCCATCTCCGAAACCTCCTTGCGCACTTCTGGCACCGTCGTGACAATGTCTTCAGTAGGCTTTCTCGGATTTCCCTGAGCTATATTGGGGTTTCTCATATCCCAAACCTCCTCGGATACCTTGGGTACTGCTCTGATCATGTTTCTGTATTTGTTGCTGAAATCTAGGGGAAACAGGAACTCTAAGTCAGCATCGTCTAATTCATCAAGCCATGGCTCCCGTTGTTCTGCTTCTTGAAAGTAGTGTAACTCGGGAGAACTTGAATGTTGCTGATATGTGTCCGCCAGCGTCGTTACTTCGCAAGCGTCGTCTAGATCCTCCTCTGAAGACGTTTCTCCCAACTCATCGGCCACATTGTACGTAAACGGAGGAAAAGGTAGTTCTCCGAACCCAGTTTTCCGCGGTGTCTCCAAGTCGGAAGACTCGTAATTGTTCAACTCGCACGAGGAATCCCGCGGCGCACGATTCTTCTTTCGCATCTCAGAGTCATGCGACAGGAAATGGGAGACTTCCTTGGGCTCCTGCGAAAGCACAGAACGGGGAGATACGCTGATCTCCGACGCTATTTTATGGGCCTGGGGGAAATAGGCAAATTTGTCATCGAACGGTGACAGGCTCAAGTGGAATGGCTCTTGATCGACCGAGAACAATGACGTTGGCGAAAGTCTGCAAGTGAAAGAGGACGGTGAAGGATAATCACTGTGGGACCCGTCCTCACGATTCCGAGCATCTGAATCCACCTTCGCCGATGCCGTTTTTTGACCGAGATCGAAGGTTCTCAGATTCAGGAAGGCTTCGAAGTTAGTGAAGTTAGTCGGAGCATACTTTTGGTCTCTCATTTTCGCACCATCAGCAGGTGCTCCGATGTCCAGTTCCTGAAAATCCTCAAAGTCTGAAGTGGGCTCACGTTCAGGTGGCGGTTTCCATCTCCATCGCCGAAATGAAGGATCGGCTTGAATATCCTCTTCTGTCCTTCTCGGCGACGAGTACCACAGAACTGTTTCCTCTCTCACTGGTTCCATACTTCTCACTGCAACCTTTGGTGGGCTCTGGATTGTTTCATTCCACGAGTGAAGTAATTCCGGCGATGCAGCACCCGCTTGCATCTTTTCCATCATCGGGCTCGAGAAAGATGGATTAGGTGAAAGAGGCCGAGAGGGCGACCGCTCCGTCGCTGGGCTCGAAACAGATGGAGAAGATCTCTCCAACATCGGACAGAACAGAGATGGCACAGGTGACAGAGGTGGAAGAGATGACTTCTCCATCACTGGGCTCGAAAGTGATGGCATGGGTGACAAAGTTGGCCTCCGAATATCACCAAGAGCTTCCGCATCAGCACTCGACATCCCAATTGACGCCCCTTGCTCTCCTGGGTTTACCTCTTTTCGGTCATCAGGCTCCAAAGCATCTAGTCCCGCATGCTCATCGGATAGACGCGGTGCAATTTCACCAGCTCCTATCCTCGTGGATGATTTTCGCCCCTTTGCGGATTCACTCTCCTCTATTCTTTTCAATACTTGCAAGATCCTTGCAAAGGCCTCGTCACCTCTCGGCAGGCTCGCCACTCTGGTAATATCTCGTTTCATTTCCTCACAAGACTCCCTGAATGATTCGGCAGGTCCGATGCCTGTTGTTGTTGTTCTTGCATCTGCGTCTGAGAGTCTGTGCTCTTGAACCTCCTCCGTTACCTCCAACGGGTGATGGTGCACTCTACTTAAAAGTAATGGCGATCCAACTTTCGACGTCGTGCTGACAGTCGCCACGCTTGACTCCGTATTCGTCTCCGCCATAGTCCTATCTGCCTGCGCCATGTTTGACATCCAGAACGACCATTCTTGATCCAAATCCTGCTCCTCCAGGCCTAGCTTTCGCAACACACACGCGGATGTCCCTCCTGGTGCTGAAGATCTCACTCGGTGCTGATGATCGTCCGCACCAAGGGTCGCTGCACCACCACCACCTTCAGGTAACTGCAACAAAAGAGGATTCAGCGGCTCCATGTAAAGGTCTGCCGGAAGATCCTCCAAGGAAATCCTCCGCTTTCTCCTCTCTTTGAGTTTCCTGTTCGGCGTAGCGGGCACAATGCTGGTGTTGACATTCTTAACCTCCGTAATCGCTTTAGTCTGATTACTATCCCCATAGTTACAAATCAAGTTACCATTCAAATGCCCGTTGGGGTCTCTACGAAACTCCTTGTGTCTCTCCACCAGCTTGGGCGGGAGATACTCATTCTCCAACGACAACTCGACGAGCTCCACATTTGATGCTGGCCGACGTGCCATCACGAACGTGGAGCTAACGAGTCCTGCTAGATACATCTTGAATGCTTCCCTGAGATGACCACCTCCACCCTGCAACAATAGTCATTAGATCAGACAGAATAACTCAGCCAATTCTTCTACACACCACTTCCAAAAACATCGTTTTGCTAGAGCAGTAGGGAGAAGTTGCTGGCTTCCACAAGATCAAATTATCTCTCAGGTGCTTATGATTGCATGGCACTCGTGCGACATACAGAAAAGATAGCATTTACGATTAGTGAAGATTGACTCGAGAAATTTCCGGGGGGCGATTGATCAATGAAACATATACTTCTTCTGTCTTGACAAGTGAGGAGGCTTGCTACTCGCATCAGCTTGTCGGGTAAATATAATGATTGGAAAGTAGAGGTGACGATAGCGGAAAATGCCGCCCTGCTGATATCGCGACCTGGATTGAATTTGAAATTAGACTCCGAATTTGGTGCTGGCGGTGAAGGAAGCCGTTGTGGACTGACTTTGGGAGAATGATATGGTCCCAACTCCTCATCGAACAAAGCGACTAGCGAGCATTGGAACTAGTGAGGCAAATACGACGAACTAGTCAAGCTTGAGGCTCAAGCTGATGTTCTCACCTCGGCCTGTGGAGATCGATCAAGTCGATGCTGAAACGATCCTTTCTCGCTTGTAATCCAACCACGTCGCGAGCGCCAAATCGAATACCACTGATAAGTTCTCTAGCAAGCTCCTACCCACTGAAAGTACCCAAAACATAAAATAAATCTGAGTTCCTAACCTTCTCTCTGTACGAACTCTCTCGCCAACGTTTACGACCCCAATCCTTCGTGTCAATTCCTCACACCGACTCCACTTATCCAGTGGGTGTAACGAATTCTCTAACACAAACAACCTATTATCAATTTTTTCCTTTTTTCTTTTTTCTTCTTCTGCTTCTTCTTCTTCTACATCTGCATTGGATCTTTTCGATGGAAGTGCTTGCGCCTAGTATTGAAGCGAATCATGCGACAAGAGTGACATCACGAGGAGGTAAAAATGAGAGCTACAACTCCCGTCTATGGCTCCGTTCTCGCTGAAAGTACACTCTCGAGGGCAGTGGTGCTTCAATTCTCATGTTCATATATTCAATCTCCACTCCCGACCTGCTCAACCCAGTTCCCCGCAACCCCCACCTCACGCGCCTCTCCCCTCCCGCACCAGCTCCAAGCAAAATGTCTACCAAAACGAAACAAAAACAAAAATCACATCGGATCACACTGCAAACTATTTACATTAAGCGATGGGAAAAAGCTACCACCATCGAAACGACAATCCTCTTTACACACATGCGGCAAGTGATTGGATTGTACCCAACTGCAACTGGTTTTCCTGAACTACCGATCCACTGCTTTCCACGCTGAAGAAGTTTCGCCACCTCCTCTGGCAGCGGAGTCCGCGTCCCGGAGGCCACGCGAGAGCAGGGCCACAAAAGCCAAGGGGCATTGTCAACGAGTCGATGGAGGAAGCAGGTCGGCGTTGAACCAGTCATCGTCCCAACTTTAGGTTGCCGTGCCCAGTGGATCGCCTCCACAGCGTGCTTCGCCTAAACTTGGCCCCATGAAAAAGGCCAGGGAATTGTGAACCCAGCGGCCGTTTCGTCGGTTGTAGCATCTCGCTCTCGTCCGCATCCTCCCGAAATCTGTGAACCCTTTGCATGTACTCTCTGTGTCATGCTCCGGGTCAGTTCGCGCCTGCGCTCAATCACATACTTCTCTAGCGGGGTCCCTCCCCCCCCCCCCCCGCCGCTCCTTTCTCTCTGCCCAAATCCGCCGAACTCTGTCCCACTGTGTGATTCCATCTCCCCCATTCTCAAATTTTCACCAACTCATCCGCACACAAACGTATCCGATCCCCCCGCCCCTTGTCCCATTGCGGAAACGCTCAATCTGATCCAACGAAGAACTCCACTTTTTTACTTCTTCCTCTTATCTCCCAATCTCTCTCGAATCTCCGCTTCGCACTCCTCGTAGCATTTCACTCCTCCGAAACAATTTTGCTTCGATTAGGGAGCCTGGATTCAAGCTTCACCGAATCCATCGAATCTGTACACACACAGTGCGATGAGTTCGTGAAAAGCTCACAATACGAGGAAAGGGCAGACACGGACAGTGACCGGCACTGCCCACAAAAAAAAGTAAACAAAAAGTAAAATACACACAATGTAACATAAAATCAAACCTTCAGCTTCACTGAACTTTTGTATGAGGTTCGGCTGTTTGGACGAAACTGTGGGGCCTTTGCTCATGCTTTAATGGAAATCCTGCCAAATTTAAACAGATAAATTAGGCATTTTGGGCCTTAAAGTATGAGGATTGAGATAATGATGACGGTGGTATTTTGTCTGTGTTTCAAAGAGTAAAAGAAAAAGCTGTGTGCCTTAATATGATGGTACTGTGTAGCAAATATCTTACTGGAAAAAGTAAGGGGGGGGAAAAAGTGAAAAGTAAAGGCACAATAAAGACAAGTGAATGAATTTGAGTGAAGACGTTTGTGGGGCCATGTTTCCCTTGTTGAAGCTGGAAGGGACCCATGATGTGATATTTCCCTATGTTGGAGTAAAGATGGGTCATGCGCAACACATTTATTTGTATCCAACAAAAAGGGCTCTTCAGTAACACAGCAATGGTTTCCTGGTAATAGAAGAGTCTCATTTTATCTGTTTTAGACTGATTTAGTGTAGGATGAATATATTTACAGCTTTTGGAAGCAGGATCATAAAATACTAAGAGGACAAACTTCCTCCTCTCCTTTAATCAAGTTGATTTCCGTAGCAAATATCCATGTGTCTTTCTCACCTTATCTTTTGATTTCTCTATGGAAATAAGACCCTAAAATCCATTTTGTCACACTTTACCGCCCCTAGGCCAACATGTACTTTGTTTGGTTCATTAATAGCAAAGCCAGCTTGTCCTTTCTGAATCACAAATATAAATAAAATAAAATGAAAAAAGAGGCAAAATCTCGGTATTTATTAAACGAGAAAAGAAAGGAAAAGAAAAGAAGCCCACATCATGTGAAGTTTTGGAAATGAGGGCCATGTGGATGGAAGATCCAGTCAGAAGTCGCCATGTGGTGGATGAGAAGGGGTCCCAATCAATGACATTGTGACAGGTGACCTCGTGGCGTGCTGCCAGCGTGGACGCCACGCTGGACGCTGTGACATGGAGTGTCCAAGAAGGTGCGTTTTCTGTGGAATGTGGGCCATCGTTTTGATTCATCCCTCGGCTGATTTCTCATACACTTTGTCCAAATAAATATCCTCTAGGCTCTTGGTCCATAATGAACCCAAACTTTAAAATGGATGGCGAAAAGTCACATTGAACATGTTGGAGACTTGAATACACATTGGCAAAAATTCTAATATGTGTAGTAAAAATTAGGAAAATGAGAGAGACATCAAATATTTATAAATATATAGGGGAATATTAAATAGACCAAAGTTTTCACTAAACAAACCCACACATTCTAACCATCTTGAAAGAAATAAATAAAAAAAAATAGACCTCTACATTTGTTTCTATACTAGTGGATTTGCAACCAATAAAAACTAACCACATTTATTATGATTACCATATTCTTCATCAAAAGTGGATCTATTTAGTAAAAGCATGAGTCTCTTTAACATTCATATATATATATATATATATAAATTATTTATTTAAAACTAAAATTATTAATTTAAAACTAAAATTATTAATTTATGATTTTTTTAAGCAATAGGACTTTATAACTGTTTATTTAGTCTTTAGTAATTTAGTGTTGGATATAAACAATATCTAAATATTTGAACATATAAATACTATATTAATACATAATTTATCAAATCACTTGTATAGAGCTAATCCAATATTAATTATAATAAAAATATATTTATTTTTATTTTTATTTTTAAAATAGTAAATCATTTAAAATATACAAATAAAATAAAAATAAACTTTTTCATATATTGATTCAAGAAATGTGAATTTATAAAATAAAAATATTTTCAATAATATTATAATAAAACTAAAATTATATTAATTTTTATAATTTTGACAATATTTTAGGTATTTAATTAAAATTTTCAAATAAAAAAGATGTGTCAAGGATAAAAACTTGATGAAAGCAAATAAACAAATGAGACTTTTTTAAAGAAATATGACAAGATAGAAATAAGAAAGTATGTATATTAAAAGGAAACTAGGATGGTGTTAGGAACATAGTCCTTAGAACCTTCTGGAGACAAGTTTCTAGAACCTTCTAAAAACAAGTCTCTGGAACCTTCTAGAAGCTTCCTAGTTAGTGGAAGTTATTTGAGAAGTTTCCTAAATAGGAGTATATATTGGAATCGAGGCTGAAGAATTCTTCACTCTCGACAACACATCTCTTACAACTCTAGCTCACCTCTCTAGTGTTGTTCTTGTATTCATCTAATTAATCTAATTCTTGCAAGTTCTTCTTGAACTTCTTGTTAGATCTCGAGCTTGTATTTCTGTATCCGTGGCAGTTTGTCGAGACTGAATTCACCTCAGATATCAGAGCTAGTATCTTCCTCGTTAGAGTGTGGATTACCTCTCTGCTTGAAGGTGTACTAGCATTTTAGAGGTTGCGGATTACCCTCTTCTAAACTGATACTTCTTTTGTTACAATATTAGAGTCTTATTCTTCTTGCAGAGAGTGGATTACTCCTTTTCTTGAAGCTCTTAAGGCGTTTTAGAGGTTGCGGAGTACCCTCTTCTAAACCAATATTGTCTTCTTATAGAGTCATTTCTGCCCTTCTCTTAGAATGGTTGGAGGCTAAGACATTAGTATAACAAAAAGTTCAGAGTCCAAATTGGATGCTATCATGAATGCCCTCGATACGTTATCGCAAAGAACTGCAGAAATTGAAAGAGTCGTGGCAAGGCTTCATAATGATGGAGCATCTGGGATGGCACAATCTAGGTTGCACCAACCTCAAACTTCTATACTTGGAGAAGCAACTTTGCCTCAGGTTCGAAAAGTACCACTGGTTCTACAACATAAGGAGTCCTCAGTTAGCCTTCCGGACAAGTTCGATGGTATGCGTTCCAAGTTTTGAGGATTCGTTAATCAAATCGGGTTGATAACAGTTTTACAACCTGAACGCTATCCAACAGAGGAGTCATGTGTTGGGCTTGTAGGAACCTTACTTACAGGGTAAGCTTTATCATGGTTTTCTCCTTTGTTTGAGAAACGATTGTCCATACTAAACAACTTTGAAACCTTTTTGGAGGCGTTTGTGAAAGCATTTGGTGAACACGACAAGGTTCGATGGGCTAGAACAAAGATTTGGTCACTACGACAAGAGATGCACTCTACATCAGTCTATGCATCAAATTTTATGCAATTAGCATGCGACATCAATTGGGACGAAGAAGCATTGATGAGTCAATTCTATTGGGATTCAAGGGATGATGTGAAGGATTTGCTATTAACTCTTCCCATTCTACGAATGCTCAACGAAGCTATTAGCCAAGCTATGAAGTATGATAACCGCCTATTCCAACGTCGCTAAGACCAACGTTCAAAACAATATACGATTTGCCATGCCCCAACTATGTCATCAAGCAACGTGAATTCACATTCAGAGGTAGAAGACATGCAAATTGATGCGGTACGTGTCAAATCCCTTACTCTAGAAGAAAAAAAGCGGCGTATGGAGGAAGGTCTATACATATATTGCAGTGAAGAAGGCCACAAAGTTGAAAACTGCCCCAAGAAGAAAAATCAATGCATTGTCAGGACTAGGCGCACATTTATTCAGGAAAACGAGGATGCCCAGCCATAATAGGAACCGTGCAGCTAGACAGTGAAATATCATAACAACAACCAAGTTCCTTTCTTTCTGCTCAACTTGTCCTTTGTTTTACAATCCCTTTGTTTATTGGCCCTCAAAAACTGGGAACCTTAGCATTATTAGATTCAGGAACATCTGCTTGTTTCTTAGATGAAGAATTTGCAAAGCATCATAAGATCCCTTTAATACAAAAATCCAAACCTGTTCACGTTGAGGTCATAGATAGACGATCTTTATTGTCTGGTAGTGTCATCCATGAATCAGAACCTATAGAAGTTATGTTTAAGGGCCATAGTAGTCATATTATTTTTAATATTATTAGAACCCCATCAAATCCTATTATTCTTGGTTTTTCCTAGTTGAAAAAGCACAATCCATCCATAGATTGGAGTTTGTGGAAGATGACCTTTTCCACAAAACCATCCAAGAGCAAGCCTAGTAGAAAACCCCGAATAGAGAAATCTTTATTTATTGGAGCAAGAACATTTGTAAGATCGTCCAAGGAAGGCACATTGTTTGTCATTTATGCGGCTCCAACTATTGGAGAGAAGATCTTGACAATAAGTATACCAAAGCAATATAAGGATTTTAAAGACGTGTTTCAAAAGAAGAATGCCGACATGCTATCAAAACATCGACCATATGATTGCGCCATAGACTTGTAGGAAGGAGCACAACCACCTTTTGGCCCAATCTACAATCTATCGCAAACAGAGTTGGCAGAATTACGGAAGTACATCGACGAGAATCTAGCCAAGAACTTCATCTGTCATTCAAAATCGTCAACTAGGGCACCCATCTTATTTGTGAAGAAGAAAGATGGCTCGTTGTGGATGTGTGTGGACTATCGAGGCCTCAACAAGATAACAAAGAAGAATCGTTATCTGTT